CCTGTGGGCTGCGTAGCATCTTTGTTGTGAAGGTGTTGTCGGTGTACTCCACATAGCGAACCTTCTTATAGCGGCTTCCGATACGGTTTTGACCTCTGGTTACAAACATTTCTGCCTCACTGCACACACACACACACACACACACACACACACACACACACACACACACACACACACACACAAAAACACACAAGTGTCACCAAGACGAGCCAGGACCATTTCTGTCTGTGTGTATGTGTGTGTGTGTAAAGTAACCAACCCATCAGTAGGTGCTGAAGGAGCATAGTCCCAGACCTCTTCTTCAGCAGCAATGAAGAACTGTCTGAGTTCACCGTGCGGTCTGGGCTTATGGACGTTGGGGAAACACTTCTTGATCTCAAATATCGCCTGCATTCCAGCTTAATGAGAGCACAAATCCAAACCTGTTAGCCACCACACAGTGGGCTGATACATCTCGATGGAGTGATCGACCTCGTGACATCAGAGTGTGAGCTCACCCATCAGATGGTCGTTGACGGTGCACGTCAGCAGCCAGTGTCCGGGGTTATCGGCCACCATTTGAGCTGTGGTGCTGGAGGCCGGGAAAAGACTGACTGTGTCTGTATGGTGGTCCTGGATGGTCAGGATCTGGCCGTGGAAATGAACTGAATGCATGTCCACCTGTTGTAGCAGATAAATGACATTTGAACTGGGCTCCTAATGGGAGCTTTTGAATTATGTATACTCATGGAAATCCAGGTGGCAACTCACTGTCACTTAGCAGCCCTGCAACTGAAGTTAAAACCAGCTAAAACTAGCTACTAGCTATAAAAGCAATGTTTTTGGACTAAATAACACATTTTCACAAATTAGCTTTTTCAACAAGCTATCACTATAGGTAAGATGTGAACAAAACGCCTTCTTGAGTTTTCAAGTTCAAATTATCAATGAATATGAAGATTCTGATTGATAGTTATAAATATAATGTAATAGTTACCTCATTTCCTAATCCAATCATGTGCCAGTGGATCGTGTTACCTTGGCACATGCTCAGTCCAGGCAGGTTACCATACAGCAAACCATTTATACCTGCAACACACACTCAGGGTTAAAAAGGTGTATTTGTGCAAGTATATGTGGATGTGGATGTGATACCTCCCCCCCCTCTGACCGTGCATCTTGTTGCTCTCAATGAAATCCTCATCTTCTTTCAGGTCTCTGGCGGGATTCGTGATGTACGTCCTGATGTTGTCATCCAGGTACCAGCTGAAGTTCTCGTCCGACACCATGAACAGCAGAGCATACAGGTAGTCTCCCGACCTGTCGCCATGTAAGTCCAGAGTTCCTAGAAGAGAGAGGAGGAAGATGTTGTTTTGGGATTCCTGTTGATCGGCTAATTGATTAGCTGACAAATATTTTAAGCTCTAATTTTGGGCAGTTTAAGCTTTTCATGTTTTTGTGCATGAAATTCTAATTGATAAAGTCAGTAGCAATGAGAAACAGTTAAATAAATGTAGTGGAGTAAAAAGTACAATATTTCCCTTTGAATTATAATGGAGTAGAAGTATAAAGTAGGGAATGAAAATACCCAGATGAAGTACTAGTACCTGAAATCTGTATTTACTGCCTAAGTACAGTGTTTATGCGACCAGATACTCTAAGGTTAAAAAGGTTTCCAGTACCTCTCTTACAGACAATGAGGGGTCCTATCAGTCCTGTGTTGATGTCTTTTGGGGGGTTGACATGGGAGTGGTAGAATCTGGTCATGCAGTTTCTGTCCTTTGATGTTGGGCTGTGGGATTCAGGGAGGGTCCACTCATAGGTCACTGTTGCTCCAGGAGCCACTGAGTCATCGCGCTTCAGCTCTGGCCCAGTACCATCTGGGTACAGGGCTCCTGAAGAGGCAGACACACAAGCGCAAAAACACAAAGTCACACATGTCATCAGTCTGTCAAGCCCGCCTGTGCTCATCAATTCACGCATCGGTTCATTCGTTCGTTCATTCCCCACCTTCGTTGCCCTTGCTGTAGTTCATTCCATGTGGGTGGATGCTGTAGGGTCTGGATGCGGCGTTCTTCAGGTGGACGATCATCGTGTCCCCCTCCTCGGCCATCAGCAGAGGCCCCAGGTAGCCCAGCCAGTCCGACTTCGCCACCTCTGTCCTATAGGTGGCGTCAGAGTACTGCTTATAAACAGCCTTCTTGTAGATGGAACCGATCCGCTGGGGGCCTCGCTTTAAAAAGACTGAGGCTTCTCTACAGGGTGATACACAGGCAGAGAGAGAGAATGACGTGTCTGTTCTTACATGGATTATATGTAAAAATCCAGTTACTTGTTGATTAGGCCTTTTTCACCGCAGACATTATGACTAGTCATAGTTTGAAAAGCCACTTGGAAAGAGAACAGGTTTGAAAAGCACAGGCGTTACTAACAACGCAAACAGAGACATTGTTAAATGCAAATCAACCATCATTCATTTTAGTATTTACACCTGTGATTTTCCTATTGTGACATGTTAAAATGTCTGTGAAAAAGGCCCAATGTTCCAGAACATGTCAGAGGTGAAGATGCACAGCCTACATAATTACACTGTTGTTAATGACACATGCGTATATGTCAGCACTTGACACTTGTGTCATTGGCTGTAATATGTGATCAGTTCTTTATGCATGTTTGTTCTTTATGGATTCTGTGTTGTATAGCTGCTGCAGTGTTCTTTATTTTCATCTATATGCATGTTAGTCTTTGAAGGAATAATAAAAGGACCCTGATCACTTATTTTTATCACTAATCATGCCACAAACACCTCTTTTTTTCTAACCAATTTGTAGAGCAAGACATGGCAATAATACATGTTGGCTGAAGTTATTATAGATACAATTGAACAATTAGAATGAAAAATAAATTATAGTTCAAAGATGAATGTAAAATGCCTATTAGACAGGACAAATATCCAAAAGATCCTTTAATAATGTGGATTCAAAAAGCAATTGTGAACATATGGAAGTAAAAAATGCTCCAAAATCTGAAGGCAACAATTGAAAATGCTGGATTACCCTTGGGTTATAATTGGGAGCAGTGATTGGTCAGAAGATCTGAGATGGCAAACGTACAGTTCTTGACAAAAGGTGGAGGAGGGACTGAGACGAGTGGAGATATAGCTTTTAAGACGAGATGGACACAGTCTTTAAAGTGCTCAGAGAAATGGAAAGTTGAACATATACAATCCCATGAGAAATGGCCAAATATCATCTGCTGATGAAGATTGTGTGACATGATCAAAAGCTCCAGAACAGCTACTAATGAGGTTGTTTTGTAATTTTTTTTATTCTTAAACACATTGAAGATTGTTACTGTTGTATTTTGGACCTGCTCCAGGGGGGATGGGGATGACTGACTTACTTTACAATAAAAAGACAATATAACCAGGTTAATGTGAGATGTGTGCACTTACTCATCATCCTGCAGAGTGCGGTTTTGGATGATGTTCATCCCACTTGGGGCGTAGTTCCAAGACACCTCCTCTATCCTGAGGAAGTACTCTCTCCTCATCCCAGACACACACACTGCCGCACAACACAGCAGCAACACACTCCGTAACGCCAGCCGACGCATTTTGATGAGAAAGTGTTGGCACCTCACAAGCTACAAGGAAATCCAAAGAAAAACTGCCAGGGAGGCAAGATGAGTCTTTATTTCTGTCCAGTGATCCACTGAGTGATGATGATAATGAAGGAGACTGACTGGCAAACTCACTGCTGTCAGTCAACTGCACTATCTGTCTGTCTTAGAGACTTTAGACCCCGTGTGTGTCTTTATACTCCTTCAGCTGACTGATTGCTGGGAACCGCCAAGCAGGGGCAGAGGGGTCACTGAACATCAGACAGGGTTTGAGGCAGCCAATCAGAGGCCTGAGCACCTGTTTGATCAACAGCTTAGACTTGCATAAGAGCAGAAACTCTGTGTGACATCCGTATCTGATTTGCCCTAAATTTTGAAATACCAGATGGAAGTTACATTTAAATCAGACTTCATGTTGTTTGTCTCCTTTTTTTTTTTTTAGCTGAAAAAAAGGAAACCTGATCCGTGTCACATTCAGTTTTTTTTTCATGTGGAGATGCAGACAAAAAATCTGGTGAAGTCACGATCAGCCGGAGACAAAAACACTTTGGACTTTTGATCCACACAGTGTCCAAACACTCTGACAAAAAACTATGTAAGCCAAATCAGTCGAACCAAGCTAAGTAGTTTCATTACTTTAACATCTGAATTACTTCCATCCTCCTCTTAGGTCAATTAAGAACAATTAATTCTACTCTCAATATTTTTATTGAGAGGTTTATCAATATTTTAAGGCTTGTAGGCCATTTATTTTATAATGTAACATGGATAATTTGAAATTGCCTCCTCACAGACACACTGTGGTGGGGACATTTAATTTACTGAAAAAATGACTTGTAATGGTTTTGACTCAGAGTCAGAGGTCACATTTACTCAAGTTTGGAATTTTTACTCAGGCAACTTTGGAAACTCCAGGACACAATCTCTAGTCCACGAAGTGATTACAACACACCAAGCAAGCTACATGCGTACACGCATGCAGAAATCAAAGTTTTGACCTGTTACACATAAACTAATACTGCACTTGTGTCACGTACCCTCCCCCTCTGTAAAAGAGAGTGGGGGCCAAAAGTAGTTAAGCTAAAAAAAATAAATAAATAAAATAACACCTGATAAGCTTGCAAACAGTTAATTTATGGTACCAGCTTATGGGAGGTGCAGTAAGGGCCCTCACACATGAATACACACACATGCACACACTTGCACATCTGTCTCTGCTGCATGCGACCTGCTGTTTACCACCGATATCTTTGGGGAATTTGGGTTTAACTGCTTTGCCTGAAAATAACTGACCTGAAAATTTCCTGACTATCATTTTGACGGTTGAAAAAAAAAAAAAAAAAACCCATCTAAAACGTAATCAAACACTGGATATATAAAATGGAAACAGTTTTTTTTTATTATTCAAGGCAGCACAAACAAACGTACATTATAAAAATATGTCACTAAAATATATATAAAATGTCCATTAACACTTAACTATAATCTGAAAGACATAAAGAAAACAATTTAACAATTTAACAAAATACTGTGAAAATGAAAACAAATGTACAAACACACACACATTTGCTTGTAACCCATAAGTAGTCCAACACTGTGTATAAAAGTTGGAACCACAAAATAACACTGAAAAGACAAGATGGCACCTTTAAAAAACAAAAACAAAAAAAAACTAAAGTTAAGGAAATGATCAGTAGCGCCTTCATGAACACCATGAACAGTAAAATGCCCACAACAACTACACTGGAGGACGTGGCAAACAATCTGTGGCAGCCATCTTGCATGTACTATTGTAATGATATTGATTTAATAAGGCATTATCATCTCCACTCCCTGTATGTTGCTACTGCTCTGTTCATGTGATAACACTGGTATTAGGTTTATGGAGTAATCTCAATACAAACAGTACAAAATAATAAAAATAAAGAAAGTGAGCGACCACAAGATTCAGAATATTGGATTTCTTGAAGTGACTGAACAGCTGTCACTAAAGCCTCGCTTTAGTTCTTCTTTTTACATCTTTAAAAATAATAACAAATACATGAGAAGGAGTTAACTTTCTGAAGATGTGCTATGTTTAACACTGTGTTGTGTGGCAATTGTGCAATTACTTCAGTGAAACCTGTTATCCTGGAAACTACATATCATCATTATTATTATTATTATTATGATCAAGGATGCTCTGATTCTTTCTTATTATTTTGTACATGTGGGTCTGCTGAGCTTTCTTTCACCACCCGAGCAAATAAAGTATATCCTGTTCTTCCTAACCTGGAGTAGATATAACACACAAACACAGACACACAGACACACACACACACACACACACACACACACACACACACACACACACACACACACCTACATCATTATGGACAAACATCCTGGTGTCATCAATGACTGTATGGTGCTTTTGCTACTTTAACCGAGGCAACTCAAAAGCTTGAAGATACAGTGGTTACACAAAGCTGACAGTTGTCAGAGGTCCATGATAGTGCATGTGTAAGTGTGTCTACATAGTGTGTTGTGTTGTGTTTTTATGTATACACATGCACGTACAGTATGTCTGTGCAAGTAATACTACATACACATGTGTGTTTGTCTACGCATTAAGACTGTACTCCTGCTTGTAGCAGCAAGGCCGGCACACGGCGTTGACTAAGCCGCTCCCCAGCTGTAAGAGACAGATGATGAACTCCAGCACAGCCAAACCCAGTAAAACACACAGCAGAGTCACGTTCCACTCTACGATATGAAGCGGCTGAAGACACCGAGACCAAGTCTCTGGCTGCAGCAGATACCTGGAACACAAAGAGAGACATCAGTGTAAAGAGAGGATCACAGAGAGACAGAGGAAGGTGCAACAGATCCAGAAAAGAGGCTGTTGAATGTTGCGCTACACTTGTGTGCAACAGTGTGCTGAAAAACTAAGGAAAGAAGCTAGATGTTATTAAAATTGAAATTAGTGGACAATGATACAGAACCAAGTGCACCAATATATGAATGTGTTATTTTCTATATCAGGACACCTGAAAGTCTTTAACTCTACTTATTAGGGCGAAATATTAGGCTTATCACTATTTGTGAGCGTGTGTTAAAATGTCTTTTTTTGCCCAACCCACAGTCCAGAACCCTTGATTTGAAACAATTAGCTGTTAAGTGAGTTGTGCAATAACTAGTAACACAGCATGACGCAGAAATACTGTTGCTATGGTTACATGCCCACTGATTTAGAACTATATCTAAGACGTCATTTTACAGAGACCTGCTGGTCTATCCAAAAGAAGTATTGGTAATAAAAGATCAATATCAAATTCAAAAATACCAAGCTGATACTTAAATACTTAAGGTGGACTGAAATGGGTCAGTGGGTAAAAGCATTTCCATCTGTTCAGTCAGCTTTGTATGCCATAATGCTGTTTAATAATGGTGTATAATGATTCCTTCTTGCATTCCTTCATTTTCTTTTCCTCTCAGTAGTCTTTTGCAATTGTACTTGTGAAATTATTAGGAGTTAATATTAATCATAATACAAATTTTGCATCATAGGACTATGTTAAATGCTTTTACAGAGAACACACATGCCTATATAATAAAAAGCCTCAAACAAGCGTGTTTAAGTCTATCTGTTTTAAACAAAAACAATATTGAATGCTCTATTCGTTATTTTTTTGTATACACCGCAATGCCACCACACACACAGCACAGTACAGTATCTTCCTACCTGCCCTTCTGGTCTGCAAATGGGTACGACCATCCATAAGAGGTGAAGCACTGGGGACCCTGCACCAAGGTGAACCCTGATATGACGAAACAGTAGCTCGACCCCACCAGGCCGACCACAGCTGCCAACACGGACCCGCACATCTAGAGAGGAACACAGATACACAGTGTTTTTAAAGAACATGCACGTGTTTGGAAGCCTTTGTGGATATTTGAGCGACTGTGTCTCTCTGTACAAAGAGGAAGACAGGTGCTACAGAGACAGGTGCCACGCACGCACGCACGCACGCACGCACGCACACACACACACACACACACACACATCCTTACTGTTTGAATTGCATCTTTAGTACTGCCATAATGTTGTCTTTTGATTGTCTTGTATTTGATTTTATTGTGGTATGTTTTTATGTGGTTGTGTAATTATGCTGCTGCACTGCCAATAAAGATCTGAACTAAACTAAATACACACTCTCTCTCTCTCTCTCTCTCTCTCTCTCACACACACACACACACACACACACACACACACACTGCAGCTGTGCATGTGGCTTGAGTGGTGCGAGCCAAGCTTACTTTGTTGAGTGTTACCTAACAATGGGACCCTTGTTGAATTATCATAGCTGGATTAGCATTAGCATTCCACCCCATAAGGACACAGTGTTAGCTGGCTTATTGACAACTGTAGACAACTGTATTATGCTCCAAGTCGTGAGTAAAAAAAACAGGAAAATGGCGGTAAAAAAGGAACAAGGGTAAAAGAAAGTTTGGGACCTAAAAGCCATATATTTGATTAAGGAAACTGAAATGAATAATGGACTATGTAACAAAAAGAAATATATATGAACATAAAATGAAGAATTGCCAAATTTTTCAAACTGTTAATTACCCATTGAGACAAGTATGTACTTCACAATGTCAGATAGCATTGTATTAATCTAGTATAAACAAAATGAAACTTCTCTGCCATAGCATTAGCTTAGCATTAATGTCAACACTCCCAGATCTTGGTTACACCATAAAAACAGTAGATTTTAAACATGATTCATAGATTAAAAAGCATCTTACCATTAAGCTCTCGTTCCAGCAGCAGCTACATTTCCCCAGAGTAATGAAGACAACAGCTGGAACCAACATCTGGAAGCACAGAAAAGTACATTGTTTCACTACAGTTCCTGAACAAAAGCACTTTTAAGCACTTTTTGTCTATTGTGGATGGTAATTTATGGGGTGAGGGAAAATAACAAAGGTTATTAGGAGGCTTGAGCTGCATTCTTTTAGTCACATTTTGCTGCATGGACAGATTACCAAACTTTGACCCTGCTTCTCTTTGCTAGCAGTTAGCTAGTAACACATCTACCACTAGACTAGTCCCAGCTGTCAATCACTGTTCAAGCTAAAAGCAGTAAATGGATATTGCCTAAAGGAGGAGGAAATGAAAGATTTATAGATACACTAGCTGGGACTTATGTCCATTACACACTAAAAAACAAAAGTTAGATGAAAACAAACTGTCTTGAGACATGTTGGCTGAATCAAAACCATCTATCCTGTCTGGGGAGCATTTTACTGTCATGTTCAGTTTTACATTGTCAGATGGCTCAACTTTTAGCAATCTTATCAGCATCAGCTGTACTTATAGCCTCACTTATGCTTTGAACAAGTATAAGACATAGAAATTAGAACAATTTGACCTGTTGTTGATGCTACTTGAAAAATCAGGAATCACCGTACATTTCAGTATCAAATTTAACTAAACTTCACTTAATAGTTGTTGTAATATTTGACTCTGGTCCAAGTGATGCATCATTTGGCAACATGGTCATGTCACTAATGCGGCTAACACCGTCCTACCTAGTCATGTTACAGCTGACTATAACTGTAGAGGTATAAAGTGAGGACATGGTGGTTTGAAACATGATTTATGGTGGAGTACAAGCAGTCAGTGATGGGTAACACGAACACTGGCTGCATTAAGAGCAGGATACAGCCTGTACTGTACCAACAGCTGAGATACAGTGCAGTTGTGCAGGAGAGAGAGGGAGAAATAGTGGCAATCCTACATGTTTGTGTTCTATTCTTTTACTATTCTCTCCCTCCCTTTTTCCTCTCCTCGTCTTTCCTGTGCTGTTGTCTCTCTCCCTGAAGTCAAGGACTTTAAATCACATGCTAACAGTTGGAGGGAAGTTCCCAAGGTTTTACACACACACACACACACACACAAAGATCATAGGCATCGTTATATACACATCCTGGATGTCCCCCTAAAGCACCACAGAGGCAGAGAGAGAGAGACTGACAATACAGAGGGAAGTGCACAGCGAGAAAGGAAGAGAGAGGGGGGGAGGGAAAAAAGATGGAGGAAGGAAGGAAAGCTAAAGATAGATTTCTCTCAAAGGGGTTCAGTTTGCTCTTTGACTCTTTAACGTTCAGTCATTCCATAAAGGAAACCAAAGTGGAAAACATAAGGACAACAAGGAAAAAGTTAACTCAGACAAAGGGAAAAAAAAGGTATATTCATGTAAGAAAATCTCCTGCAGTGTATGTTAGCTCCTTTTGATACAGACAAACCCAAACAGATTAACTACTGTGCATTCCTCAAATACTGACTAGGCCCTTTATAAACAAACAGGCTTTTATTGGAGGAGTTTATTGCTAAATTCCCCTGCTTTAAAAGTAATCATATATCATATCTTAGTAACAAGTCTTAGAGTAAAATGTTTTGTGATCTAATCTCATTTGTTGTTGCTCCTGTTTGATGTCAATACAAAGTCAATATTTCCTCCATATTCACATTTTAAAAAATCTTCCATCAGTTCATGTTGCATGATCCCTCATTTTTATTGTGAAACACCTGTAGGAAGGGGAGTGTCATTTAGAGCAGCTTAATATATATCAGTGAATGAGAACACATGAGAACCAATAAAGTTTATCCAACTGTGTCTCCTACAAAATAAGCAGTGCCCTGTGGATATGAAAGTGACATCTAAAATTCAGGCTTCTCCCTCTCTCTCTCTCTCTCTCTCTCATAAGTGGATTTAATAATTCCTCTGGTCATTGTTCTACCTCCTCTTCCGGGTTTAAAGTGGCCAGTGCTTTCCTTTCTGTACTGATTAATCACTGCTATAAATAAAGTTTTCTAACAATGATGAATAGTGCAGCACCAAATTGTTTAAAACCTGTTTAATTGTTAATTTTAGCAGCATTTTACTGTCGAAACAAAGTCTCTCCTTCATGAGAAAGATATGAACAGCTGAGAAATGCCTTCTTTTTGAATGGTCCAAAACACACTTTTAGGCCTAGTGCTATAGTTGAAAGTCTTTCATATAGACTACAGTATCTATTTAAGTTACATGCTAAGACGTTCTGAACAGTTTTTCACTCTCACCTGCTCAGACTACAAACAAAAAGCAAAAAAGAAATCTGAATATTCTAGAGAGCGGACCTTCAGCAGGGTTAATCTTGTCTGGGAAAATACAATCTCTCCTCTGTTCCTGCTTAAAACCAAACTAAAAGAACAGCTCCTTTCTGCTCAGTCGCAGCATAAACCCATCAGATCAGCAGCATGTAGAGCAGACAGATTAATTCACACAGCACTTCATTGTTCTCAATAAAACAACTGCAGACACACTTAGAGTGAATGGTGCTGAAGGGGAGACAAGTCACATCTTTCAGGTCTAAAATCGTGTTTCTATCAGTCGAGCTAATGTTGTTTTAAGTAAATTACAACTAATCTATAAAGAGATGAGTGGATTAAAATCCTATTGACTTTAAATCAGCAGTGGTTGTATTTAATAAACACACTGAGAAAAATAAAGACGCCTCAGTTTGTCACCAATGGATCAACATGTACCAGCGTCTGTCTCTGCATAAAGGAGGAAGGGAGGTGGTAATCATTTTCAGAGAGAAAGTTCATGGCTTGACCATTACACAGAGTTTCTTCTGCAGTGACTCAAACACTGTCAACATTCACTTTGTTTTAAATGAGGAAAAAAATGTGGTTGAAACGTGGTTTCAAAAGAATTTCACTCGCTTTGCTTCCAGATGAAAACTGAATCTCATCACTGTTGATTTCAGCAAATTTTTCTCTCTCTACTGCAACTAATAGTGATAATTCTCACCATGTGGTACCAGTGACCTCAACTGAACCTACATCCATTAATTGTTTTAGCCTCTGCCAGGCAAAATAATCCAATCTGATCTGAAACCCCATTGCCCCCATTCAAAACCCCCCTCTATTTTTACCTTCACTTCTCTACATTCATTATAGTGAATGAGGATTTTTGTCACAATCAAAGTCAAATATTTTATACTTTGTATGGAGTAGGACAATTGATGTATTACTCAATGGTCCTACTATATAGAAATAATTGCAAAAACATTTCAGAGGCACAGAATTTAAACTTTGAGGATGTTAAAATGCCTGATCTGTACACCAAGCATCTCTGAAAACAGTGACTTGCATCCAATATGTTTGAAATTTTGAAAAGTAAATGAAGGTTTTGTCCAAAATCTTGTCATTCAAAAAGAAACAATAATTCTGGATATTTTTTATAATTAATTTTAAAAAAAAACAAAAAAAACAGCTGAGAAGCAAGCACTGGAAAACTGAATGACTGAACCAAGATTTTGGAGTGCTTTAAGTCAAAGGAAAGTTATCCCATGATATTAAAGTTGTGATTTTGGAGCCCCTCTCACTCCTTTCCACCACATTTGGTGTGTTTGGTTGAAGTCCAGTCAAAATATTGGTGATAAAATCCAACAACTACAGCTCAGTGTGCAATCATCCTCTCTTCGAAATGCCACTGCCATGACCCGCACCTAATTTTGGTTTGCATCTTCCAAACACAGTCGCCACCAGAATAATCAGAAAGCTGTAAAAAGCAGGTATCAAAATAAAGTCTACAAAGAAATCTAGATATATAACTGAATGACTAACTGGAGGACTTCATCAGCTCATTAAAATGAAAAACAATTCACTAACCATCAGTCCTCCACCTCCTAGTCCACCAAAGTACCAGATGTAGTTGGCCAGGCGGTCCTGCTGGATGTAGGTGATTGCTCCCATAGGAAACAGCAGCAGCAAGTTGGCCAGGATACAGCAGAGGGCCAGAGGCAGCAGTGCCAGACCCAGAGACCTGGCGAAAGCCACCGAGCAACACATTGTTCCCCCGAAAACAAAACACGACCGCAGGAAGGAGAGGAGAGAACTGGAATGGGCTGAGGAGAGCAGCGAAAGACAGACAGAGGGGAGGGAAGGGTCAGAGCAGCTGGGGAGCCAGGAAACAAAAACAAGTGTGTGTGTGTGTGTGTGTGTGCGCTGAACAGATTCTGCTTCCCTTACTGAGGGAGTTCTGCCATGACACAACGTGCGCCAGGAAACACACTCACAGGAAGGCAGCTGACCAATAGCTGCACAGAGTTCAGCCAGAAATATGAAAAATCCCACAAGAGAGAGAGAGAGAGAGAGAGTGTGTGTGTGTGTGTGTGTGTGTGTGTTTCCCACAGCCTCTCAGCCAGCAGGGCCTCACACAGCACTCTAAAGAATTAATTTCCCTCAGAATTACTAAATCATAACAACAGGTTGACATGTTTAAATACATAATCTGTGCATTTTCACCTAATCCCTTTTTCCTACATGGTGCACACATTCATGTTTGAACCTTTAGTCTGTAAAATGTCACAGAAAATGGAAAAAAAGCTCATAATAATTTCCCATTACCCAAGGTGGCATCTTCAAACTGCTTATTTCTTCCACCAACAGGCCAAACCCCAAAGAGACAGTCAATTGTCTCTGGTAATTAGTTTATTCAATGATTAGTTCATTGATTAGCAATTCTGATAAACAACTGATCATTTGAGTAGTTTTTTAAGCAAAAAGGCCCAAACTTCACAGGCTCCAGCTTTTTAACTGTGAATATCTGCTGTTGGTTTTAGTCTGAGTCTATAAACTCAGCGTCTATGGGTTTTGACTGTGGGTCACGAAAAACATGCAACAAGAATATGAAAACCCGGGTTCCGCAGAACAAAAGCATTTTCTGATATCTCATAGACCAAAAGGGTCGAAAAAATAATCTGCAAATGATTTAATGAAAAATAAAGTGTTAGTTGCAACCCTTAAATTTTTGATTGATAAATGACTTAAATGAGGAATAATTTAACATTATAGTTGACAACTAATTTTCTTCTGATCAAAAAACCAATTGATTGATTCATCATTTCAGCATTAATCTGCCCTTCACTTGTTTAGTAGATGCAGACAATGAACCAGAAATCCTGCACAATTCTCATTAAATTTTTGGTCCTCTATATGTGGCTGTCTTTGCTTCTGATTAAAATGTTTTATGTTCATTAATTAACTTAAATCTTTTATTACTGTTCTCTTGTTTTAAATGTTCTTGCTGTTTATCTAATGTTTCTTCATCTTTTATCTTTTTTATTGCTTTCGTATTTCACTTCCATCATGTTCATTAGTCTCCAGTTGTTTTATAATTTATATTTGTTCTATCTTATTATTTGCTTGTTAAACCCCCAAAAAGCACTAAATGCACTAATCTGTACGAAAGGTGCTATGTAAATTAAGTTTGAGTTACTGACTGATTCAAACTTCACGGTGAACAATAAACCCTCAACATGCAGTGTACAGTTCTAAAATTATGAAAGGATTTCCGCCCAAGGGATTGGAGATTTCTTTCAACTCCCGACACAAAAGTTTGTGCACTGCAGTTTAACAAGGACCAATAAATCAAAATGTTTTATACATGTTTCCAAATTCCCCTAAAAATCTTTCTGATTTCTTTCTGGGTCAGAATGAAACAACAGCTCAGCAGGTCTATGTAGGGCAATAGGGCACAACATGACTCCTCATAGTGCTGCGTCAGAAAGCAAGAGAGACTGTGTGCATGTGTGTTTCAGGGGTCCAGGATGTTGTGAGCTGCTTTCTAATCCAGCTGGAATGTAGCACATCCAGATAAACTGCGCTGTAAACTGGAATGGGCCACTAACAACCTGCACTAACAAGCTGTGTTAATTAGGACAGATTATGTGTGCATATGAGTGTGTGTGTCTGTGTTTGGGTGACAGAACACACGGTTCTTTATAGGAGTGCAGGGTTGGTACCAGGAAGGGTTTGGAGCTGTAAGCAGATCAACATTGAAAGTCCAACATCATGTTTCTACAGGGAGCGATTTGTGCTGAGGTGGAAACATGTTTGAGCCGCCTGCTCCAGAGTATAAGTGGCTTACAAGCTGTTTACCAACTGACTCATTTTGTTTCACAAAGCCACTGCATGTTGTAATATTATTTATTCTGTCTGTCTGTCTCAATACGCAAAATACCCACTTCCCCCTGCATGCTTGAAAACATGACACATGAAAACACGCAATGAAAACGATGCATCATATGAAATGAATGGAAAAGGCCATGTAGTGATCCAAATGCAAAAGACTAGAGGAGCAGGAATGCACACAGCTAATTTCATGGTAACATGCATTATAAACTGTGCGATATCTTTTGTTTACAGATGACATTTAGGCTAGTTAGTGCTACACCAGAAGCTGCACGGAGCATCCAAAATGGAAATGGTTTTTCCTCAGGGGGAGGCATGAATGTGCTCAGTAAATTTTATGATGGTGATGCTGGAGAAAAGGTCAGAGAATGAACAAAACATAAGGATTCACCCTCTGGGGACTATGAGTGACATCCCACTGATAGTTGTTCAGATGTTTTATACAAAGTTTTCAAATATAGTCCTTTTTGAGACATACTGCTCGGGACAGATGAGCTGATCAAACTACTGCTCAATATATATATTAGGTCCTGCTGAGGACAAAGTAAAATACCACATTACCTTGAGTTGTAATAGTACACTGCAACCAGGGATTAGAGCTACAAAATATTTATTATCTATGGACAACCAGAATTTCAACACATGCACATCCATCTTCTTCAGATGCTGAGATCAAAAAACTGTTACTGAGCTGAAATGCTCCCAACAGCATGAACCAGTCCTGTTTAAAGAATTAAGGCGTTTTGAGACCAAATCAGCTCTTCATTAGGTCCAGAGGAATCTATAGAGGATTGTAAGCTTCAAGAACAGAGAAGCAGTCAAGACCTTGAGAACTAAGAGTTGTTTAAAAATAAAGAAAATTTTATTTATAATTTGTAAAAAATATTAGGAATATTTCATTTAGCACTGCATTTGAAATACTGAAAGACTGATAAATCAGTTTGTTTTCAACAACAGCAGAAACAAATATTTACTTTAAAATGTAGGAAAATGATGCAAAAAAGATTTTGACTCAGTTCACATCACATTATTACATGATCTAAACTCTATTTCTTTATAAAATGTCCCCTTGAATAAAGATGCAGCTGTCATTTACTGAGGAAGGAGAGTTATATACAGTCTGTAATGATACTGCTGCCTTTTCAAACAAACAGCAGATCAGCAGTAACTAATTAAAGAGACTGTATTTTGGTTGAGCTAGTTTCAAACCGAGATCAGGAAAAGCATCCTCGATGTGTAATATAATGTTACACGAAGATTTGTTTTCTTGTTGCTGTTAAGAGCAAACAAAACCATCACAAAGTGCGAAATCTTTTACAAATCGATGCACTGCTCTGCTGCTGTATGTCACAAACTACATGGATGACATAGAGTAGTAATAAGAGTTTACATACATAAATGTATGTGTAAACATACAAGAGAACAATCTAGTAAATGCTGATACAAGAACATGATGAAATAAGACACCATTATGACCTTGGGCTATGACTGAATTATAAACCTGAACTGTTGTCAAGTTACACGTGGTAATAAAATCAATCAGCTGAATAAAGGTGCTCACAGTCTAACACTGATGCTATTTCTCCTCTACATTTCATTTGTAAGAATTTGCCTTCAGAAAGATTATTACTTCTGCAGAGGAGATGAAAGGAGGTGAAGTACGTCTAGTAACCCTGAGCACATCCATCAGCTCTGGGGTCTGATCCTGCCCACAGCACCCTGGTTGGATGATCGGCTTGACTGACAGATGGGTTCCACCAATCCCCCACTGTGATGATCTGTCCCCGCCCAAACTGAGACCTCTTGTGGCCTGTGTGTTTGAATGAGAAGATAAATGGGGAAAAAAATGCATTAAGCCCATTAAACTATCCCGTCTTTTATCTATCTGTCAGTAAAATGCAGTGTATAGCAAAATATTACAAGTGCAGCATGTTATGATCATGAGTTAAAGGTCTCTGGTTTGAGGGTGACAAATCAGCCCATAATTATGCAGCACTGTATTTTTTTTCTATAATGTATAGGTGTTTAAAAAAGTTGTTTTAGTGTCTGAAATGGCTCCCTGGGTGTTTTATTTCAGTTTAAATTCATATAAAAAAAAACCTCTGGATACCTCTGGAGAAACTGTACCGCATATTAATATCATCCATACAATAAAAATAACATAAACTCACTGATTGAGTAGCACACAATAAGACAAACTATGCTTCTGCAGATACGAGATATGATAAATTAACAAACAGAATATTTATATATATAGATATGATAAAGACAACAGCTATGAATTAATATATCAAAGGAATATTTTAAAATCTTAAAATAAGTTGTGGGATGAAGGTGGCAGTTAGGAGGTGAGGAAGATACACACAGTTTTATTCTTCTCCGATGTGCACAGTGATGAGCCGTTTGACCTTTGGTTCCTTAAATTGGATTTTCTTGTTAATGATTATCAAAACATACAACGATTAGTGTCATTACTTAAATGGCAGGGCCACAGGCCAGAGAAGTACGTAAAACCAGCCTCACAAAGCTTCAATGGTTCACTTTAGTATCATAAATTGTGCAATTAAGTTGTCAATAAGTTCATAAATTAGCACAATTTTTTTTCATACCAACATGTTTGTCTTTGCATGCTACATATCTGGTATCAATTTGAACTTGTTGGCTCAAAGCATTAAGGAGTTACAGCAGTTTATGGGATGTCTGTCTTCCTCATTAATATGCAAATATATGCAGACAGATGCTTCAAAATCTAATAAGAACATCTAGTGCCTGCGGTGTAAGTATGTAAGTTTTCTGCTATATATTTTTCTTTCATTATCATGTTCATAAGGATGTGTTTACATCCTCAGAGTCATGGACGCCAGCATGATGACATAATGTCCCACATACATATGTGTTTTCCATAGCTGACTCCCAAAAATTTTACTCTAAAGAACCATTAGCAAGAATTAATATCAGAAATTAAGCACTCTACAGTAATTTACATTTAAATGTTCTATTTGTTGCTCTACATTATGGATGCATCATTGCAGTACAGAAATGATCAAGAACACTGGCAAAGCTTCTTCTCTGCATTTTCCATTGTGTGTCACTGAGCTGGATTTGACAAGTGATTTGGTCCTTTCCACAAAGGGATATTGCCCAGTGAATTTTGGCTCAAGTTCACTCACATGTTCATGATATACATAAAAGCCACAGAGCAACTTAACTGACCCAGACCGATGCCAGTGTAGGAAGGAGGAACAAATAAAAACGTCCTGTCCTGTTTGCAACAGGAAGCAATAGTGTTTTGGGGAACTGCGGTCTAATCCCCGTGTCAGCCATGATCTCATTTGTCTATGGTCATTAATGTAAAACAATATAACAATTAATGTGACACATTAACTTTTGAGCAGGCTACAAGCAACACCCATTTATTATAAAATACGTCACCAATGAAACAAATGATAAAACCTCGACTTGTATTTGCCTGAGTGCAAAATCTTACTAACTGTTTGCAATGGTCTTCATACAAAAACGAATGAATGAGTGATCTTTTTTTCTGGAACAATGACAAACTTCACATGTAAAATATACTATGTAAGTATTAAAACCAATTATTTTGTACCTGTGATTGGCCAGCGGACTTTTTGGCCCCGTCTTTTCAGCTCCTCTGCCACCTCCTGGTCGACCCCCTCCTCCAGATTAACCCACCACTCCTCAGCTGGACACAAAAAGTTTGATCACACCATGATTATGACAAACAGTGCTCTATAAAAACATGGAACATAGCTGTGTTTTTACAGAAAACTCCCATAATTCTCACCTTGCATACCCCTTAAGTTACAATACGTGCTCATCAGAGCAAGGTTATGAGGTAATCCGACTTCCACCCATATAAAAATACACGGCTACATCTTTTATGGCCAATAAACAAGCACTTCGGCATTTCATTTTTGAATGACTATAAATATGACAAATATGATAAATATATGTAAAGGTATTTTTACTAATGCTATATTTCATATACTGCGGAGGGATTAAAAAAACTCATAATTAGACAAAGCTATTGGACGTGACTACAAATCACATTCACTGTTTTCTCTATATGACTACAAATTCTGTGCTTGTTAGTGAATCAGTTGTACCATGATGGACTGTGATAACGACAAACCAGAGCAAATATAAAGATAATTTTCTTAAATTAATTAATCTTATACAAATTTATACAATATACTATAACCACATTAAATAAATGTCAGTGTGACTTATCTAATCAGGAGAACTCACAAGAGGAAGTATACCACCGTACAGTATTTTGACTAAACACACATAATCCTTAATCATTAATAAGAATATAGTGTTCAGCTGTATGTATGACATTTAAATGATGATAAAATCTGTTTGAAGTGTGTGTGTGTGTGTGTGTGTTGGCGGCAGAGTGTTTGTACTTTTTAGGTCATATTGTACATAGACTCTCGGTGCGTCCAGAGCTTGTTGAGGATTCATCCCGAACTCCAACATGTTTAACAACACCTAAACACAAGATCAACATCAGTGGATTCAAACATTACAAATGTAAGGCTGAACCAGAAACCACCAGGGTACCACTGTAAAACCCAATGCAAGTACCACTAATGTGATGCACAGAAAAAAAAAAAAGAAGCTAAATCATACAATAATTAGCGTTAACTCTTTCTTCCCATGCCTGATTTCCTGGTTACTGTGTACCTGGATGTGTCCTTGCGGTTGCATAAATGCCCCCATGACCCCGAGTGCAGCGAGTAGTCTGGGTTTTTCTGACTTGGTTGCAGAGGTAGTGAGGAGCGCAGGTATTATGGTGTGATATGGCCGTTTCCCCCCAGCAACACAGTTAACATGGTTAGGATGCAGAGAAAAGCTGGCACCGCGATTCTGATATAGGCAGAAAGAGATTTCATTAACACATTATAATGATACATACAATAATTCAGCCTGTTCATTTACATTTTTTGTTTGTTTTTATGTCTTTTTTGAGAAGCAATTTGGAAATTCTACTTTTGGTGAATAAGTTGGATAAGTTCTATGAAGATAAAATTCAATATATATTACCATGTTACTACAGCAGTAGGTCAGGTTCATGATTACCAAAAATATTTCCAGGTTAGTGTACAAACGAAACACAAACATGCCATTCATTCCTGCTCTTCTCAGGTAATGTTATTATGCAAAACAGCATAATAAAATATGAAAAATTGTCCCTTCTTTATTCATGCCTGGTGTTTTATATGTCCTTTTTGTGTCATCAGATATTCCCACACTTATGCTGCTCATCTAGTAAATGACTACTGTACGTCAGCATCACACTCCAGTCCATCTGTTCATCTATTAATAATCTGAGCATGTTTTATTTAAAGTATTATAACTTTAT